ATGTGGGAGTAAGCAGTGTGGTCTCAATGAGGCCTATGGCAGAATCTCAAATTATTGTCAAGTATGGCAGTTGTCCAGTTGTCAAGAATGGGAAATCTAGAACCAAACTGTCCAGGGCTGGAACCAGACTCTACCTTCTACCAGATGTGTGACCTCAGAAAAATTATAGAACCTCAATTTTCTCATCTGTACAATGGGTATAATAATAGTACTTACCTCATAGAGTTTTTTGATTCAAAAAAAGCCTTCTAGCACTTCCTCTATGCTAGACACTCTCTTAAACATGTCATAAATCAGCCAAAAATTAGCTCCCCCCTTTCCTAAATGGAATCACGGCATAACACCAGTACCTATTTTGAACTTGTGTTCATATCTGCATCTCATGACCTGTGCAGTCATATGGTCAATGTCACACCCTCCCAAACCAGGAAGTCTCAGCATGAACTCTCTTTTCTCCCATGCCACATGGGTAAAGACTGCACTCATGGCTGCTACTGCCTCTCCTTTGTTACGTGAACCAAGGCAGGACAGGAGTAATTTGCAAGACCAATGGGTAAAAACTCTCTACATCACTCTAATTTAAAATGGCATCTCCCCAGTCATCTATTGCAATTTCTCCCAATATCCCACTAAAATACACATGAAAACACATAATAAAAGGAAAACTCACCACAAAACCAAAAGCTAAGCTCAGCAGATGACATGTGATCAGAATTCTAATTCTACTAATTATGGATTTATACTAATTACAAGGCTGATGGAACTGGAAGTAAAAAAAAAAAAAAACACTGGTGTCTATCATATTTTGGCTCATGAACTAGATAGAGCAGTCTCATTCAGACAAAAGTAGATCAGAAAATTCTTCATTTCTCCTCCAGTACCTTCTCTCTTATGCCTACCCACCCATACCAAAAAACATGGCACTATTTCTCTCATCACACGGGAGGTGTTTATGAGATAATAATTTGAGCTAACATTTGTTGATTAGCTACTTTGTGGCAAGTACTCTGCCAAGCACTTCATGTATGTTAATGGAATTAATATCCACAACAATCCAAAAGAGTAGATGCTTCATTCTTACCCTCATTACAAAGTCAAGGAAACAAAGGCCTAGAGAAGTTAACTGACTTTATCAGGGTCTTGTAGTTAATAAATGGCAAATCAGAATTCAAACCTGGGCAGTCTAGTTCTAGAACTTGGGTTTGAAATCAGTTATTCCAATCATCCCTCATATTTCAATACCCTTCAGAGAATAAATATTTTTTTAACAAATATGTAAGAAAGCACATGGAACTCATGATGCAAATTGCATTGGGAAAAACATGGCTCCTACAAGTAAAGGAGTATGGACAATGGAGGGAATACAAATCATCTTGTTTTCAGCACATATTTGCAAGTCTACATTTTCCTGAACTCTGTGGGTTCAGAGGGCAAGAGAACTAGGTGCCAAGAATAGCAGAAGGTCTCTCTTTGGCCCATCAAAGCCTCTCTCGATGACCAGTTCAACAGTGGAGCCTGAGCTGAGAGGTACAAACATCAACCTGCCCTTCTACTTACATTTCAGCCAGCAGTGGACAACAAATAAAATAGGCAAAACCCACTGGCTTTTTTGTTTGGCAAATGATCGGTCTGAGTTGATGTGGCCTTCTTTGAGAATCAGGAAAAAGCAAACTTATATACACAGATGGTAGAAAATACTGAAGATTAAAGAAATGGACGTCATCCTAAAGACTAAGAAGAAAATATGAAAATGATTTATGGTATAGACATGAAAAAATATTCTTGGTAGGTATTCTTCAATATTCTTGGTAGAATTAGAAAAGTCATGGTATCTATGAAAGAGCAGCAGAAATCTGGAATAAACTGACATGACAATTGAGCTAGACCCTTAAGGAAGAATTATAAGAAATCTAAGTTTGCAATTGCAAAATAGAATCTAATTTAGAGAGAACAGAGAGCAGATCCAACAATGTCAAAAATAAAAGCAGCAATGTGGAAGACAAATTAGAAAATTTGTTTTGGATGCAAAGAAAAAGCATAGAGATAAAAATTATGAGGAATAATCTGATATACAGGGCAGAACATATACATAGAACTTAGGAATTTGGTTATTGCAGGAAAACAGGAAGAAAAAAAAAAAGGAACCAATGCCAAAGAAATAAGCAAAGATAAAATTAAAGAAAAATTTTCAAGACCAAGTTTGCATGCTAAAAGGGCTAATCCAGTCAAAAAGAAAGAGAAATTAAGAAGTAGTAGAGCATTAGAGAAAGAGTGATGGAGATGAGGGAGATGGAGAATAAGAGACAGAGAAACTAAGAGAAAGTGAGGTCCAGAGAAAGTGAGAGAGGACACAGGGAAAAAATGTGGAATTGTGATCAATCAATCAGTTATTCGAGCATCAGACATCCCCACAGAAGAAAGGCTGCTAGCACCCTGTGGTGTGCCTTGTTGTCCTGGCATACCAGCTCTCATCCTCAGCACACTGGGATAGGCAACCTGACCTCCAGCTATCAACCCCTAGGATTCTCTTCCAGTCTTTCTCTGACCCTGCCCTTTCTCTGCCCTTGCAGATGTCTACAAGTGCTGGGTGAATCTATAACTCCCAGAAGCTGTGTTCAAGCAATAAGAGACAGGATTTGGTGATTACATACCCAGGGTCTTCACTTCTCTGAGAGGATAACTTTGGGAAATGTGTTTTTCATCGACTTCCACAATTAATCCAGCATGACTCAGCTCCAGGTGAATACAGTGGTATCTGGCTTGCTAACCCACTCTAGGATATACGTTTATCTACTGCCTTCCTTTCCTGTCTTGCATCTCCAACTCCCTCTGTCACCTGTCAAATAAACTCCTTGCCCTTGAATCCTTGCCTCTGAGCTTATTGCTAGGGGAACTCAACACACATCTCAATGAAAAACTACAATCAGGCCAGATTGCTTTCAAATACTGAGTATCAGAAAACCAATGGTACCAAGTTTATCCAGGATTACAACAAGCAATTTTGGACCCATGAATTTAATGCTCAGCCAAGTTGTCATTCACATGACAATTACAGACTTTCCCAAATAGTCAAGAGCTCAGAAAACACTCTTCTTTAAAGTATTACTTGAAGATTACCTCTAGCCTTTAAAATGAGGAATTGAAGAAACTCTAGAATGGGGAATTTGTGATATTTGGTAACCAAATATCCTAACCTTACCCAGACACCTTTCTCGCAGGTCACATTTTGACTACTACTCTCTTATCTGGGAGATTTTTTAGAATCAGTTTTCTTGTGCTTCATATGTTTGAAATGGTTAATCAAAGAATGACTTCCATAATGGAATTTCTAATTTGGGCAGGTGGGGATAGTAGGAAAAGCAACCAACACATATCAAATGCTTACTAAAAGTTAGGCACTGAGCAGTATCTCATTTAATTTCACAATAATCTTAATGAGGTAGGGACTGACATTATCCTAAAAGAGGAAACTGAGTCACAGCCTGGCTAACTTCCTCAAGATGGCATAGCCTCTAAGTGGCTGTAAGTGGATTCAGAAACATAACCTCACTCCAAAGTTCTCTCTCTGGATCACTCTGTTTGTGCTTTGTGGTCTTTCAAGGGAATTCCAAAATATAAGCCCCAATGTGCTCTCTCTCATTCTATCATAGGCTGTTAGGAAAGAGGACTGTCGTAGGGATCAGAAGATGACGCCAGATGTTTCCCGCCTCATCTTTCATTACGTAGTTCCAGCAAAAGGGAGGGGATGTTTGCAACACCTGGGAAGATGATCCGCTGCAGGGCTATAAGCTACATTGAAGATCAACCTCAAAATGGCCATCAGACGGATGATGAGTGACTCCTTCTAGAGCAGTACTTTCCCCTAGAGCTTTCTGTGATGATAAAAAAGTCCAAATGTGTCCTATCAATGCATACATGAAATGTGGGAGGTGAGGCTGAAGAAATCAATTTTTAATTTTATGTAATTTTAATTGAGGATTTAAATTTAAGCAACCACATGTGGCTGGTGACCACCACAATGCACTATGCAGCTCTAGAATCAGGAAAGGCTTCCAGGTTCCCATCTCCAGCATCCTCAGCTGGCATGGCACCAACTAGAGAAACTCTGCCTTTAACAAAACTTGGGGCTGAAAGGTTGCTTTAACACCCAAAACAGACAACAGACCCCCTTCAGAGTATTTTTGGCTCTTAAGGAGGCACACACACACACACACACACACACACACACACACACACACATAGTTCTGTCTCACCAGTTTTGGTGATTTCACTCCCAAGATGCTACTGGTACTGCCAACGATCTCTCTGGAAACGCTCTCATGCCATAGTTTCCAAACCACATTCTTGACTCTCGAGTTTGCCATGGTGCTCCTGAGAGTCTGCAAGCATTTAATGAGGATCGCATTCGTAAATATGTTTAACCACTCTTAAACAGTAGTTCAAATCACTCAAGTGACATGAACAAATGTGAGATCACTAACTGCAACCTGGTACGATCAGGTTGACTTGTGTTTCTGCCAACTTTGGAATCCTGTGTCTATAGTCATCACCTAGGAAATGGGGAATGTTCCAAGGTCACAAAGGAAATGTCATAAAAAACAAAAATCTTACCATATCCCTCTACTTAAACATCTGAATCAAAATTGTCTCCCTACTCTGTAACCCAAACAAAAATTCAGCAATAAAGAGGGTCGAATTGGGAAGTGAGGCTATTATAATGGCAACAGTCATCCCTAATCCCAGTTTCAATTTTTTGTGTTCAAGCAAAAGGCATCAGAATCCTCTTTGAGCGTCTTTAAAATAAACAAAGTTTAAAAATCACAGTTGCATAAATTTGTAAATTGCAAAATAAATTTAAGGTACTCAAATATTCCTTTTGCTGCTTTGCATACTAAAATGCCAAGTCATGTTTCATTTGGAAAAGAAGATATTTCACTGCTTCATAAAAATCGTTGACATTCACCACGTACCACGATGAAGGGTCCAGCAAGGTGTAGGACGACCTCGTGCCTCCGTCTAAGTATTCTTTCCACTGACCCACCTTGAGATGGGTCTGTGCTACTTGGACTGGGGTAGAGAGAGAAGTGACGATACATCAGATTTGAACACGCCACCAAGAGAGAGGTCAAGTGAGACTACTTAGCATTCTCTTGTCAATGTCCTTGAAACCAAGCACAGAGTTTATTTGACCTTCCAAAGAATCGTACTGTGTGTGGTCATCCAGCATCTCTACGAGGACTGCTCCTTGATTACCTGCAGACCATGATGAACCACAAAATCCACCTTGGGGGCACTGAGCCCAAATACTTGGGAGTAGTCACTAAGGCTTTAACCATGTCTCTCTCTCTTTCTCTCTCTCTCTCTCTTTCTCTCTCTCTCTCATCCAGCTTATTTCGATTTCCTTACCTTCAGAACTAATTTTCCTCTCGAGACCATACCCAATTTCAGTGCCTGCCTGCCTTTTTAAATTGATGAATAGTGGAGACAATTGCTGTTGCATTTTTAAACACACACACACAAAGTGAGGCCAACAACATTAAGACTGCAGTTGGATTTCAATATTTTAAAGAACACACATTCCAACCGGGACTTCATTTGGGGAACGTCTGTGGCAATCAAGAACAGTGGGGAAAATGCCTTTGCTAAAGAACTTGAGGGTAAGCATCCAGAATGACGCAAAAGGGACCCCCAGGAGGGGAATGTACTAAACTATGGTTCATCAGTGTGAGTGAACCCTCCAACGGGCTGATTTCTTCTGCTTATTTGATCCTTGTCCACACTTGCTTATTGTGGGATAATTTCTCTAACCACCTTTTCTCCCACAACACCCTAGAAAAAAAAATAAAAGGGAAAAAAAAGGCTGCTTTATTTTACAGCTAATTTGCTGTAAGCACATAGCCCAGCTGCTCACAATGAAGTAAAGGAGGAAATGAGAACAGAGGGAACCTTCTAATGAAGGAGTGTGGGGGAGCAGTAAGGAGATGGAAGAAGAGGCTCGATGCTATTTGTATGATTAAAGACAAGCAAAAAACAGCGGTAAGCAAATATGTTCGTCTTGAGCCCAAGAACAGAGACATAAAAGATTAAAAAAATACTGAAGGGCAAATAATTTGTTTGAGCTGGTATTTTAACTGACAAAAAAAAAAAAAAAATCCGTCTCTTCTTTTCATTACACAAAATTGTATTTTGGATTTTGCTCATGAACATGTGTTATCATTGGCCCATTATTAATAGACAAGGGATAATTCTAAAAACAGAAGTTCAGAAATTTGCAATTCTGTAAAGGAAAGGGTTCAGAGAGGTTCATTTAATTGATTAGATAGGAAAAGATTTTTGTTGAAACAATGTGAGGGTCATTGGGAAAAGGACATCTTAAAGTGAGTTAGCAGATTGCATGCCTCGTTCTTACAAAATATTTCCTTTTAAAAATAAGGAAGATCACATTCTTTATTGCATGCTCTCCTTTCTGACCACTCAGCACACACACACACACCCGTAGCACAAAATCTCCTTTAACTCTTTCTCCTGGGGGCCACATCAAAATGAGGTACATTTTATACTTTTGTACCTTTTCAAACCACAGAATGAGATATTCATATGGAAATGAGGAATTTCCTGAAGTTTCAGCTTTCATAATGTAACCCATTTCGGGCAGGGGCAGGGGGGACAGCTTATGAGCTTGAAGAGAAAATAAATAGGTTTTAATATTCAGCTTTAAATAAATGTACTGAATTGGTGTATGATAATAGTGCCAAAATAATTAATTTGAACCTGGCCTTCTCATTTGTCAGGGTGAGCAGGTTGCTGTACTCCAAGGCTGCTGAGAAATGGTAAAAGAATCAGCCCAGCATCCCTGAGAAACTCAGGGCTCCTCTGTCTCCCCCCATGGAAACTGAGGCCTAATTTCCTCTGGCCCAGCTGGGGGCTCTGTTCAGGCTGGTCTCAGAATCCTCATTCTGAGGATTGTTCAGGCACCAAGGGAGCTCCTTGTCGCACCTCATATCCTGTAACATTCTTCTGCCCACTGATCTTCAGAGGAAACCAGCATTTTAGCTGCTATTTGATAGCAGTGACTGGGAATTCTAAACTCCTAAATTTAATCCCACTTTGTAATTTGGAATAATTCCTTGATCCTCACAGTTGGTGAGAAGGATTGAGGAACACCATAACGAAGGGAGCACTCTCCTTGGTACAATGAAAGAAAAGTCCAGAAAGTTCTGAAAAGGAAAAATTAGAAAATAAAATGATGTCTTTGGACAGCTTAAATGTGCAAATTGTAGATTAACAAACAAAAACATAACTAAAGGAGCGCCTGGGTGGCTCAGTGGGTTAAGCCTCTGCCTTCCGCTCAGGTCATGATCTCAGGGTCCTGGGATCGAGCCCCACATCAGGCTCTCTGCTCAGCAGGTAGCCTACTTCCCCCTCTCTCTCTGCTTCCCTCTCTGCCTATTTATGATCGATCTCTCTCTCTCTCTCTGTCAAATAAATAAATAAAATCTTAAAAAAAAGAAAAATCATAACTAGATCCAAGTCCAGAAATGATAAGGCAATGACAATAATTAAGAAATTGCCACAAATGTACTTCCCTTAAATTTGAAAAAGTTTGAACTCTCATAATAGAATATTTTTTAAAAGATTTTATTTATTTCTTTGAGGGGGAATGAGAGAGAGAGAGAGAGAGAGTGAGAGAGAGAGAAAAAGAGAGCAAGTGGGGTGGGGGAGAGACAGGTTGCCGAATACGGGACTTGATCCCAGGACCCAGAGATCAGGACCCGTGCCGAAGGCAGATGCTTAACGAACTGAGCCACCCAGGTGCACCCAGTACTTTTTTTTTTTTTTCATAGTCATTGATGGGGAGGGGTGAAACTTGTTTCACTAAACAAAATGCTGATGGGACAAGAGGAAGATAATTTCTCTGTTTTTTAAAGTGTGTTGTCCAATTTTTCTCAGCACTTGGACACCTAAAACTCTCTCTGGGAGCTAGCCCAAATAGTTATGGACCTATTCTGTATACCTGTGTATAAAAGCTGCACACACACACAAAAAAATGCTAAAACATAGGAAGAAATAGGACAGTGGAATACTATACAACCAGGAAAAGGAAGGAAAACAATGTCTACATAATACTGGAGTAATCCCCAGGATACATTTTGCTGAGCAGAAAAGGTCAAGTGGATTCCTAATTCAACTTTCATTCTTGTTATTGGTCTAAGAAGATTTCCTATTTCTTGAAATCAAGATTTCATGATTTAATCTTGGTAACTTGTGTTTATAGGAATTATCTGGGTTTTTTTTCCCCTAAGTTATCTGATTTGTTAGTATGTAACTGTTCGTAGTAATCTGTTATCACACTCTGTATTTCTGTGGTTAGCTGTTGTATTGTTTTCTCTTCCACTTCTCATTTTGGTTTTTGAGACTTCTCTCTTTTTTTTCTTAGTTAATGTAGTTAAAGCATTACCAATTTTGTTTATTCTTTTGGAAAAACTGGTCATTACTTTCAATGTTATGTTACTGTTTATTCTGGTCTCCATTTATTTCTGATTTTTCTTTGTTATTTCCTTCCTCTACTGAATTTTTCAGCTAAGTTTCTTCTTTTTCTAGTTCCTTGTGGTGTAATGTTGTCTATTTGAACTTTTTTTCTTAATACAAGAACTTATATAATAAATTTCACTCTAACATCTGCTTCTGCTTCATCCCATAGGTTTTGGAATATTGTGTTTTCTTTTTCTTTTGTTTTGAGAATATTTTGATTTGCTATTTGATTTCTTATTTGTCCCATCACTTATACTGTAGTGTGTTGCTTAGTATCTACATATTAAACATTTAATATTTACATTGTAGGTTTTCTAACTTTGTTTTATTATTGATCTTCAGTTTTGTATCATTGTGGTTGGAAAATATATTTGGTATGATTTTAGTCTTCTTAAATCTGTAATATTTGTTATGTCTCTTTCTTGAAATTTGACAAAGGGTTTCTATGTATACTTGAGAAAAAAAATTTTTTGGATGTAATGTTTTCTATATATCATCTAGACCCATGTATTCTGAAGTATGCTTTAAGTAAAAAATGTTCTTGTTGATTTTGCATGTGGATAATGAAATTTGTAGAAAATTTTTAAAAAATAAAATTTAAAAAAGTAAGGCGAAGAAAATGGGTATAATTTGCTGCTGTGAATCTAAGAAGTTGGAGGGGAAAATGAATATATAAATAAGCATATTTACAAATGTACGTTTATACAAAGCAGTAATCCTCAAACAGATAGAACTGTGCCCATAGGGACATTTGGCAATGTCTAAAGACATTTTGGAGGTGCCTGGGTGGCTCAGTTGGTTAAGCATCTGACTCTCTATTTCAGCTCAGGTCATGAACTCAGGGTCTTAAGACTGACCCTGTATCAGACTCTGCACTCAGAACAGAGTCTGCTTGGGATTCTCTGATTCTCTCTCTCTCTCTCTCTCTCTCTCTGCCCCACCTTTCTCTGTCTCAAAGAAATAGATAAAAAAAATTTTAAAAAGACATTTTTAATTGTCACAACCGAAGGTATGCTACTGGCATCTAATGGTTAGAGAACAGGGAGACTGCTAAATATCCTATAATACACAGAATGACCCTCTACAACAAAAAATTATCTAGTCCAAAACACCAATCCCGTCTAGGTTAAGAAAATCTGATGTAAATGTGTGTGTATTTGTGTGTGTGTGTGTATGTACATGAAGCTTCTTCTATTTAAAAAATAGAAAGACAAACCTTAAAAATACAGAAAATGGACTGACTTTGGTAGATGAAGGGAATAGGGTGGAGAAAATAAGAATAGAAGCAAAACTTATACCTGGTTTCGAAGACTTAACTTTGAAACTATGTAAATATTTACATAACTACCAAGATAATTAAATAGTAAAAAAGAAAATTCTGACATTTACAAGCAAAACTAGACCCATGAATGTGTTTTGACGAGGCAATATAACCCTACAAATAGTAGCCAGTGACTTTAAAACATAGACGATGACTCGACAGCCTAATGGAAAACACCCTAAGGACAAAAGAGCTGCAAAAATAATCTTAAACT